AAATATTTGGGCATAAGTTGTTCCTCTCGACTCCCCCCGCCCCCTTTCTCCCACATTCCCAGCTTAGTTCTAAGTGGTTTTTTGCTGAGTATTTATTTTGTAAGCTCCCCATCCTAATCTAGCCTTATATAATATAATGATTAACTATATATAAATATATATATGAGTGTACAATATTTTGCGCCTAGTTTGATATAAACAATTTTTGAGCTATCGAACCACCTTAATGTGTAACAACAACTAAACAAAAAGCGAAACAAATTAAATAAATACGAAATAATTTTTGACAAAAACAAATGCTGTTTTTTTTTATATATAAGAAATATACCAAAAATATACAAAAAAAAAAATATATATATATGTATATATTTATATATATATATATATATATATATATATATATATATATATATTCAAGCGCAAATAAAAATATTTGAGAAAATATATATTTCATAAATAAAAAAAATAATAATAATAATAATAATAATAAATAATAAACAAAATTAAAAATAATAAATATTATTATGATTATTATTAATTAAATAATAATAATAAAATAATAATAATAATAATAAATAATAAACAAAAATAAAAAAATAAATATTAATTTGATTATTATTAATTTAATATTATTTTAATAATTGAAAAAAATAATATTTATTTTAAATTAAATTTCTGCAAAAATAAATTTATAAAAGAAACTATTTGTTGTATTCATATATATTTTTTATTTATGTATTATGTTACTGTTTTTTTTTTTTTTTTTTTTCTAAAAATAAATTTGTTCAAAAATTCCAAATTCAAAAAGTCTTTTTCATATATTTGTATCATGTTTTGTTTTTATTTAAAAATAAATTCCTCCGAAAATGAAATAAATAATTTGTTTGCATGCACTTAAACAACTATGGAAAGTTTTTTTCGTTTGCTTTCTCTCTCTCTCTCTTTCTGTCTCTTAATCATTTTTATTTCTTTTTCTCTCTCTGTTGATTGAAAAATGGCGATGAGAATGGCTTCAGTCAATGCTACGTGGCGAGCTGCAAGAATTGGAGCTGAGCTGAGCAAAGGGGCGCTCAGAGGGCGACGGCTCCATCCTCAGTTGCAGCGGCGGCGAGCTCTGGATCGATCTCTGGCTCAACGGAGTTGCTGCTGGGCGCACGCTCGGCGCCAGCGTCGTCGTTGACCACGATGACCTCGTTGACGGGCACCGCCTCCTCGAAGGAATCGTCGGTGGCCTCGGCGCTGCTCCTCACCTCGTTCTCGGACTCGGCGGGCTGCTCGGCCACCTCGTTGTCCAGCTCCAGCTTGTCGGCGACAGCGGGCTTGGCGGGTGCCTCGGTGGCAACGGGCGCGGCTGGTGCGGCGGGCGTATTCTGTGGCCGATTGCCGCCCAGGAAATTGATGATGCCCTGCAGCGGACCCGCCGGCTGTGGCTGGGCTGCAGCCGCGGCCGTGGCATTGTTGCCGCCGCCAAAGACATTGTTCACAAAGGCCTGAATGGGTCCGGGCGGGCGCACTGTGGTCGGCTGGGCGCTCTGCTGCTGCTGGCCCGTCAGCCCCGAGAGCGTGTTCTGGAACTGGGTGCCCAGATTCGAGGCGAACTGCTGAATGCCCTGGAAGGCCTGCGTGGTGCTGTTGACCACACTCTGCACCGCATTCTGGGCCGCATTCTGGGCCGAGGTGATGGCCGCACTGGGATTCAGAAAGCCGGGCTGAGTGGGTGCTGGCGTGGCCACCTGATCAGCCTGCACTGCCGGCTGCTGCTGCTGTCCGTTGAACTGGTTCAGGAATTGGCCAATGGGCGAGTTCTGGATCAATTGCTGCACAAAGTTCTGCTGTGTGCTGCTCTGCTGGGTGGGCGTGGCCTGGGTGGCTTGGCGAACGTGTGGCACGGCATCGTCGATTTGCTGCTGCTGCTGCTGCTGCTCCACCACTGGCTCAGCGGGCACAGGCACAACTAGCTCTTCAGCGGCCTCAAGGGGCTGGGATTTGAGAAGGGGCTGTGCTTCGGCTTGAGGCTCTGCTGGCTGAGGCTCTGCGGGTTGAGGCTCTGCGGGTTGCGCTTCCTCCTGCTTCGGCTTCGGCTCTTCCTCAATTTTAGGCAGCTCAGTTTTGAGTTCTGGCTCAACCTGGGGCAGTTGCGTATTGGCTTCCTGCTCCTGCTGCTCCTGCTGTTCCACCTGCTCCGCTTGTTTCTCCTGCTCCACTTGTTTCTCCTGCTCCACTTGTTTCTCCTGCTCTACTTGCTTCTCCTCCCTCTGCTCCTGCTCCTGCTCCGGCTTCGGCTCCTCCTTGATCAGCTGCTGTTGCTCCTCCTTGACTATGGCCACGGGTATGTCGAGCGCCTCCTTCGCCGCTGGCTGCAGCACACGTCCCTGGCTGCCCAGCGCCAGGCAGAGTAACACCAAAACGATTGCCTTCATTTTCTCTCTTGCTCTCCGTTTACTGCTTGCTGCTGCTGCTGCTTCTTCTTCTTCTTCGGCTTCCAACTGCTGAGCTTGATGTACGCAAGCGCCTCACGGCAACGACTGTGTGAAATTTCTTCAGCCTCGACGCATTTATACACGCGTCGATGTTGACGCCGACGCCGACGCCGCCACCGATGCCGACGCGGACGCTGACGCTGCCGCAGCCGTGCGTCGACGGCGGCAGCAATGGCCAAAGACACTGAAGATCGACGATGAAGACGATGCCAATTCTTTGTGCTAAATGTCATTGAACTGCTGCAGGCGAAGCTGAGGTGAGGACGGCACTGCAGTTGGCCCTTTGCATTGCAGCCAACATAATTGGCCAATTCTAAGGAGCTGTACTTGTTATTCTAGAAATTGTACCGATCAAGGTTACACTGCTTCTTCTTCTTCTTCATTGTATATTTTATTTTTTTGTTTTTGTTTTAGTCTTAGTTGTAGTTGTAGTTAATTAATAGATCGATTGGAGCCTGAGTGGGTTCGCTTGTCTTTTACGAGCTGCGGCTCTTCAGGGCCTGCAGACATGTGGCTAAAATTAGAGATCATTAATTTGATAAGCGGTAGGAGCGAAATTCTATTTCAGTCCCTCGATTTTTAGTTAGGGTATTGAGAAGGTGGATGGCTTAGTGATGGCTTAGACTAGGCTAAGACCAAGTATGATAATACACATGTTAGAGGGATGATGATATTGTAAGTAGAATTTTACATGATCAGATTGAAGAGCATAATACTAATAATGAATAATAATATTAATAATGATTTATGTTAGATATTAATGCTAGAGTTTGTCGTATTGCTTCTCATATTTATTTAGTATGAGTTATTAATTACAAATTAATAAGCATAACTATAGCTATAGTAAAATATATTTTAATGATAATGCATTTGCTAATGATCATTGCTATTGGCAATGGCTAATAAATAATAATAATGATAATAGAAATGCATATCAGTGGGCCTATTCCTCTGACTGATGGTAGTAATAATGGCTATGCTTATAATGTAAATGGCAATGCCAATGCTAATGCCAATGCTATTGCTAATGCTAAGGCTAATACTAATGGCTAATATTGCAAGCATTTACACTAATTCCAGCATTATTACTATGGCCAATTCTTATAGTAATACATATGATATATTGGGCTCATGAGAATGCTAATGCTTATACTCTGCTATCGCAATATGCATAATTATTTTTATTTTTGTATTATTATTATTATTTTATTTATTATTTTTTTAAAACAACAAATTTAACGGGCATTAATTTTCATTAATTAAATTAAAAATAAATTAATAAGACAAAGCAATAAATGGTAATATAACTGATTAGACTACTCCCCTCAATGCTAATGTTAATGAATAAGAAAGCAAATGTACTGACAATGCGAATGCTAATACTAATGTTTATGAAACAACATGATAAACACATTAAAATTGAAGAGTTTTACTGACCTTAAGTAATAATATTAATAGTAATGATAATGAATATGAGCTGTTAAAGTGTTAAGAATATGAAAAATGTACTATGTAATATTTATAATGAATATTATATGATTTATTTATTATATATTATGTGTAATGAATACTTACTGGATAAGATTATAGACGATTGCTTTGCTCAAATGCTCAGTTTTCTAATATTTGATGCCATCATATGCCCATTAGATATGCTAAACTATGCCTCTGTAAATTTTCAAATACTAGATATTTATTTATAATTAGATCACCTAAATTAATTTCATTTTTTCAGCCACTGCCAGCAGGGTATTCGATATTCGCCAAGGCTGGGCCACAGTCCACGGCTTGTTCTGGGCATTAACGATCGTCGATTAATTTTACAGCAGATCCAACATTGTGCGCTCGTTGTATGTGGTGCTCGTTGAGCACGCATTTTGTCCCACTATGCAACTGGTTTGAATGCCTTTTATCGATCGGACAAGAGATCTCAGCATATTTTCCAGACAGTCAGCCAGTCAGCCAGCCACCCACCTCCGCCCGCCGCTGCACACGCCAGTTTTTCACTCTCGATGCAGCAGCAGCAGCCGTAAGAGAAGAAGAAGAAGATGATGCTGCTGCTGCTGCTGCTGCTGCAGAACATCCAGATGCAGATGGACAAGATGTCTTACAAGAAAGTCTTTGGCTTTTGGGTCTTCGTTGGTTCTTTGAAACGAGTTTTGTTGGCCAAACACGAAGAAAACCAGCTCGAAGTGCTGGCTATTTTTAGATCCAATTAGCTTTTAGCTGCAGCCACTTTAGAAGGGTTTTCGAATCAGAATCATCGTTATCAAATCGGGAGGGAGCTCTGCATCCAATTTCGATACGTTTATTCAATTTCCCTCATATGAAGACAATGAAAACCCATTAGTAATTTATTAGTCAACAAGAAGAAGAAGAATAAGAATAAATTATGCAAATTATGCAGATGCATTTCCAACTAAAATCTAGTTAAATGGGTCAATGGGCGTTCCGTGGCGTGGGCGTGGCACAACAAAGAAGAGAAAATTTGAGCAGCGCTCTTGGTGGCAACGAAAACAGTTGTTAGCTGAACTTGACCAGATTGCCAGCGAGTCCAATTGGCAAGCCAATCAGACGGCCAGTCCAATTGGACAATTGTGGAGGAACTCGTTTTTATGTTGGCCCTTTAAAAGCCAAGCCAGAGCCAGGCGAAAGGACATTGACATTAGCTTTGATTTTTTATAGACTTGTTGTTGTTGGTGGTGCCAGTGGTGCTGGTGGTGCTGTGGTGCTGGTGGTGCTGGTGGTGCTGCTGTTGGCTCGTTATGTGCGTCTCTTAATTGATTTCCGCAACAAGCAGAACAAGTTCGAGTTTATTTGTATTTGCCATTAACTTGATTTTACTGTGCGCTATTAACTTGGCTCAAAGAAATTTTATGTACAAAAATCGTATATTATATACACACACACACACACACACACACCTCTGGCCACAAATGTCGTTCAAACATTATGCAATAATACAATTGACGAAGGTGAAAAAAAAACGGGCTAAAATAATTGTTAAATGAAATTAACACCTCGCTCACATATTTCACTTGACGCCCAGACACGCATCAGCTTTGTGGGCGGTTGATTTTGATGGGGCGTGGCCCGTGAGCAAACGGTGGCAACTTTCACTTGACAATCGTGCGGTCTACGAATTATAAACAATATCAACAATGACAACAACAACAACAACAACAATGAAAGCACATGCAAATAACGGCAAAATGGGAAGGCGTTAACAGATCTCTACAACAACAACAACAAACGCAAATTTTTGACTTGGAATTTTCAATATTGCCATTGTTGTTGTTATTGTCGCAATATTTGTGCCATATTTCTGTTTGTACTTCATTTGTCAAGGTCAGTAAGCAAATACGGCATAAATAAATAAAAAAAAAAACATTTGTGAGGCTAATAAATGAAAAAGTTGTGCCAAAAAATTGAGCACAAATTGCGATTCGACAAAGAGATTTTAGTTGAAGGGTAGGGAATACGCAGGCACAGGTAATGCCCAATTGACTGGCTTAAGCTTAAAATATAACAAAGAGGTGTTAATTTACAGCGCAAATTTAACTGCAAACTTTTAAATATCTAAATTTCAAATTTAGCGGACAGCAGCAGTAGAATGTGTTTTGCCATAGCAAGCAGCCTAGCAGTGCCTCCTATAGCTGGTTGACAAAAGCTGCCATGCATGGCTTATGTAGCAAATCGTAGCTCTGTTAGATGTGCGCGCTGTAAAAGAGCTTATAAATTTAAGAACTACAAAAGTTTATTGGATACTAATAAAATTCCAAAATTCAGATTATATAAAAATTCATGATGATAAATTCTATAAGCTGATTCATTTATTGTATCAAATATATACGCATTATTTATTCAGTGTCGCTAATGCTAAACTCAAAATGGCTCTGTTAAGTTAACAAGAAACGCGTATATTCTTCTATCAATTGCCTAATACGACGTTTAACCTTAATTAATAGCACTGTCTGTTGTTAATAACACTAACAAAACAATATAATAAATAAATTCCTGAATTTTAAATAGGTTTGCAAAAAGTAAACAAATTCTCCTGAGACAACATTCAAATTTAAAAGCTTAAGAAATAAATGGTCACTTTAAAATATCGCCGCCTTTACATAGTAATTTATCGATACTTAACAGCATACATAATTTAACATAAGAGCGCATATTTACACTGGCATCGCAGTCACGTTGAGCAAACAACAGCCAGTTTGCTACCGTCCCCTCCTCTAGTTAGAGGCTGTAAAACTATCGATAGGTATCAACGCCGCGCGTTCGCCTCAGCATAATTGTTAAATAAATAAATAAATTGTATAAATCATGTGCAATGTGTAAAAAATGTGTGCGTAAGCCGCGTGTGTTAGAACGCAACACGACAGTGAAGTGCGCGTAGACAATAGCAGCAGCAGCAGCAGCAGCAGCCGTAGCAACAATAACCGCAGTGCTGCGTGCGCCCACACCAACAACAGAAGCAACTACAGCAGGCAGCAGCAATAACAACAAAAAGAAGAACCAATTAAGCAAGCGCATCAAGCAACAAAAGTGCCAATAATAACAATAATTAATTAAGCGTTTGTTCAAGACGAAATAATTAAATTATTAAAAAACTCGATGCGGCTTCAAAAATTCAACCAAATAAACAAGAACAGCAAAGGCAACAACAACAACTGTTGTTCATGTGCTTGCTGCTCGTAAACGCGCGTGTGTTTGTGTGTGTGCTGCTTGTGTTTGTATGTGTGCGTGCGTGCGTGTGACAGCAGCAACAACAAAAGCATTGGGCTTGCAATCAACGGGATCGCCAGCACTTGACGTCGCGGTCGCGGTCGCAGTCGACGTTGCTGGCTCTGTTAATTTTTGTATATGTTAAATAAATCTGATAAAGAAAATGAAATTAAATGAAATACAAATAATCAATTAAAGTGCAGTTGCTGTTGCCCCAATTGGCGTTTCTTGTCTGTTTTCGTTTCGCTTCTTACTGCTGCCACGAATAAACCATTAAAGTGAAATACAA